GGTCCAGACCTGGTCTATTAAAGGTCTAGACCTGGTCTCTGACAGGTCCAGACCTGGTCTCTGACAGGTCCAGACCTGGTCTCAGAAAGGTCCAGACCTGGTCTCTGACAGGTCCAGACCTGGTCTGTGACAGGTCCAGACCTGATCTCAGAAAGGTCCAGACCTGGTCTGTGACAGGTTCAGACCTGGTCTTAGAAAGGTCCAGACCTGGTCTATTCAAGGTCCAGACCTGGTCTGTGACAGGTCCAGACCTGGTCTCTGACAGGTTCAGACCTGGTCTCAGAAAGGTCCAGACCTGATCCTAACGTATCTAATGATGGTCTGAGAATCTTGAGATCTGAAATAGTCTCTTTGAGTTCAAGAGGTTTAGTCTGGGATGGTGGGGTATCTTATTTTTTCTCCTGGACCAGAGACTTTCTTGACCCAACCTCAGATATCAGAAAGAAGATTGATTTTGTTTTTAATTGTAGTTGTCTTTTATAAAAATTAAACCAGTTAAAGAAAAAAAAACCTGCTCAAATGATGTCGCATTATGATCTTGATAAAAACAAGGTCCTCCTGAATCTGACAGGAGGACTCTGGGAAACCCTGTCCTCTGGGTGCTAGTCTGAGGTGGGGCAGATGGGATGATCTCATGACTCAGTTCTGCTGACGGGTCGGCTCAGAAACATCTGTCTCTCATTTTCTTACCTTAAACTGTCTGTGGCCCTCACAGGTGGGACTCATTAAAAATGACTAAAACCACTGAGGTGAGTCCACACCATTAACTGAACTACACCGCTCTGTGGAGTTCACCCAGAGAATACTCCTTGTGAAAAACTGGCACACAGCTTTATTTATGAGGCAATGATACCACCTGAGACTGTTCTCCAATTTATAAAACACCCATTTATTAGTTTGGGCTCAATATGATAAAAAACACTGTTTAAAATAAAACACAAGCAAAGAAAAACTAAATAAATAAATAAAATAAACACAAAAAAAGGGCTGAGGTTACCAGCAGGGCCTGCAGTGTCTGACAGCACCCTCCGAGCACAGCAAACAAGAAAACAAAAAATAAAATAAAATAAAATAAAA